TGAATAGGCACAGAAAGGAAAAATATTCTTCTTGTCTGAAGACATTTTCAAAAACAGGTTCAGCTAATACCAGTTAATCATGTTTCTTAGGCAATCCTGTCAGCATTTTTTGCTTGGGTGTGATGGTCACACAACTCCTCTAACTCATAAGCTTCTTGAGGAAAATTTCTCTACTGTAAAGTTGGTGCATCATCTGCAAGAAATCAAGACCCTGACAACAGATTTAGATGTTGGGTTTATAGTGCAAGGAGAATAGAAAAGACAATAAATGGCATCCGAAGTGCAGTTTAGGGGCTTAAGCCTGCAAGCCTGTTCACAAGGAATTTAAATCAATGCAAGAGCAGCATGGGAAAGAATTACAGTCGGGAGTTGGTCCTGAACCATGAACATAGTCACACAGATACAACCAAACACATTGGAATAGCAATGCACTGGAAGCCACCAGGGAAAACTAGTATTATTGGGGGCCACTCTTTAAACAATATACAGGCATTCATCCAAATTAGACTGCAACACTCAGGTGCTACAAAAGCTCACTTGCACTTAAGAGTGAAAACTCCAGTAAAGCAAATGCAGATCCCGTTGCACTAAACGTTTTTTGTAGCATTCAAGTCTTCGTATCCCACAAGGGGTTCAAGCATTAGCCTCCTGAAAGGTAGATGATGAAGGAGAAAAAGCATATTGTTTCACAAAACAGCATCACATCTACACACAAGAGGGGTAATACGTACAACTTGCCCCCCACACGGAGATTTTAATTGAGACTCATTCGAACTTCGCCATTCACGGACACATGTGCACTGGGAGATTTGCTTCACTAGTACACCCCTTCCTGGTGCACATACAGCTACATTTCCACGGATGCCTAGATTGGGGGGAAAAGCCATTATTTGCACTGGCCCCCAACAAAAGAGCGCCCCACCGACTTCCGCGCACACAGGGAGCGTGGAAAGGGGAGAAACAGATGCTCCCCCCACTTGCAGCAGCACCGCCAGGCGAGAGGAGAAGCAGCAGCAGGAGCACAAGCACACACACACATGTCTATAGCGACACCATTTGTTGCACACCAGCCCAGTTCCCGCGCCCCGCACCCGCCAAACTCCGGGCGGAGAAACTTTCCGAACTTTCGCCAGTTCAGTAAGCAGGAGTGGGCGGCCGCGGGCTGCGATTGGCTAGGCGGGCAGGAAGCTCGGCTGTGATTGGCTCTGCTCACTCCCCCGCCTCACGAGGGTGGGGAACGTCCGCTAGTCAGCGACGAAACTTCTGTCAGCGGGTTAAATTCAAATCGGCAGCGAGCGGCACCGGTAGCGAGCGCGGGGCCCGCCCTGTCGCTCCGCACAGGTAGGTGCGGGGCTCAGCCGGAGCCACACCGCGCTTGCGGTTATAGCCCGTCTCTGCGAATCCGCACTCAGGCAGCACGCTCGGGAGGGGCCCGGCGGGAAGAAGCGTCTAGCGGGGGGCGCGGGCTACTGGCGCCAAACGTTTAAATCGGATCCCGGAAGAGTCTCGCCCATTTCTCCCCAGCCAATCAGCGCGGCGGCCTGGTGACTGCTGCCGTGTGATTGGCGCGAGGCCGGGCGGGGGCGAGGCGGGGCCGGGGAGCAGTTGGGCGGCAGGGGGCGGGTTAACTGAGCTGCTCCCGCTCACTGGCGGGCCGCGCGGCCTGAGGCGATCCCAGAGCCCGCCCCTCGCCAGCGCGGGCGGGGCCCTGCGGGCGGGGGAGGCGTTGACAGGTGCTGGACGGGCACGTCCCGAGTGACCAGCCGGGCCGGACTCGGCTCGGTACTTACGGCTCCGGGGCCCTCACCCGCCGCTGCCTTCCCCTTCCCCTTCCCCAGCGCTGCCAGGGCTGAGATGCCGTCGCTGCTGCCCGGAGCCCCGTCGATGACCCTGCGCAGCCCGGCTGGCCAGGAGCAGTGAGGGAGCCCGAGCGCCGGCGGGAAATGGGGTCGGAAGAGAAGGTACTTGCGGGAGTCTGACCGGGCGCTGGCATGTCAGCACTACGCACGCAGGGCGCCTCCATTCCCTGGGCACAGTCATGACATCGCCTCTCTGGATCTTCTACACGAGGCTCCTGCTGATGGCCGTGCGCTTGTCCTCACAGGGTGCTGCTTGTACTGTCAGCCTGGGTGAACCGCAGCAGCATCCACCTCCCTGCATTGGCGCTATGGCCAGGTCTACTGTAAAGGGCAAGGTTGACTACAATAGGCAACTCCAGCTAGGTTAACTATGGAGCTGGAGTTAACGTTGTAGTTGGAGCAGAGGAACCTTGATTTGAGTTTCCTTGATGCCTCCACAGCAAGAGGCTGACAGTAGGCTTCCCTTACTCCGCTGCCAACAGGGTTGCCCTCTGAGTTCGATTTCGCAGGTTTTTGCTAGACCTGCTACATTGAATTCTGGAAGATCGATCTTCTGCTTCGTGAAGACATGGCGTATGCTTCTTGTGGAGGTGGAGTTATTAAATCCATGCAGTGAGGTACTTAGGTTGACAAGAGTGAACTTTTAGTGAAGACACTTAGGTCAGGGATGGGCAAAATATGGCCCACAGGCTGCATCTGTCTCACCAAGCCACCAGATATGGTCTGCAGCCCAGTGGGAATCTCAGGAAGCTCCCTACCTTCTGTACACTGCTCAAGCAGCCAGCTGCAGGGGCCATGTGTTTCTGCACATATCACGTGGGACGGGGGGAGTTCTGTGTGCTGCCCCATCCCCCAGCATGCAAAGAACCCATCTCCCAGGGGCACATGGTGCGCAGGGAACACGTGGACTCTGCAGCCAGATGCTCTAAGTAGCAGGGGCATGGAAGGCAAGGAGCCTGCTTGAGGTTGGACTGCTGGCCATTAGGAGCCTCCTGGCCAGAGCCTTCCTCTGGCACCCCAGCTCCTTCCAACCATCTGTTCCCCCTTCTGCATCCCTGCCCCAAGTCACAATCCAAACCTTCTTCACCCCCGCTCCAACCTTCTTCACCCATTTTTTTTATATGAAATAAACATCTAAGAAACAATACACAGCTTGAAATGTATAGACTAAGCTATATGCATGTTATATATTAGCAGTTATGCCAAAGCAATAAGTAAATGTCGTAGACATTAACCCAAGATAACCTTTTGTTAGAAGTCAGAATTAGTTTTTAATTTTGTTTTGTTTTGTTTTGCCTGATGTAAGCCATTCCATTCAGTGGCAAGGGTCAGCTCACAATGGTGTAAACGATTTGAAATTTACCATGTTTCATTTTTCTTAGCAAAAAGATCAGCCCTGTGTGAAAACTTGCTAGCTTTATTTCTCAAAAGAGGAGGAATCTCTTTCTTATAAAATGTTGAACATTTAAACTAAGGATGTTAAAAAGCATTTAATATGATAAGCGTGTAGCTGCTAACAATCAGCATTTACTTGGTTACACACAGAAGAGCCTGCAAAGCTTTCCTGGGAGCGGGGCTACAGTGAAGCCTTCTCCCCAGGAGCAGAGTGGGCAGCCCTTGCTCACATGGCTTCACTCCCAAGAAGGAGGCTTCACTGCCCTTCTGCAGCGAAACTGCCTTCCAATGAGCCATCTGAGTTTGAATTTAACTGGTACCATTATCCAAAAAGCATCAGCTTATTGGTTAAATGATTGGTTACACTCTTAACATCCCTAACCTAAACAAGTATACCTATTCCTTATGGCCAGCTATAAGCAAAAGCAATAGATGTCACTGTGGCTCCGTCTGGATTGCCACTGAATGAATGCTATCTTGCATTTAAGCTGTGAATACTATGGATGGTGTGGCCACTAGGGCACCTCTGCTTTTTCCTTTTCTTTCAAAAGAACTTCTTCTCTGTCTACACACACCTTTTTCCGAAAGCTCTTTCGGAAGAAGGCTTCTTCCTCATAGAAAGAAGCTTACCAATGTCAGAAGAACCCCTCTGTTCTTTCTATTTTTATTTTTTTTAAAGAACACGATTGCAGCGTGGACGTAAGTGAATGTTTTTTTTTTGGAAAAACGACCGTAAAGGGATAACCAACACCTTGGCAGGGGGGACTCATATATTATTCGTGGACTGTAGTTTTAACCATTTACCAGGCAATTTTTGGCATTATTCCCCCAAAATGAGTGAATTAGCCATGAATTAACTGTCATCCTGAGTTTTATGTTAAGTTCTTTTATTTATTTGTTTTTTACTTGATGCAAGCAGGTTAATGGAAGAAACTGTATTTATGTATACAGGCAGTCCCCGAGTTACGCGGATCCGACTTATGGCGGATCCGTACTTATGAACGGGACTTTTCTTGCCCCGGAGGATGCGGGCGGCGGGACCGCCCAGACGCGCCGCGATCCCACCGCCCGCGTCCTCTGGAGTGAGAAAAGCTGCTCCGCGTCTCCCTGGTCTGCTGGGGGGGGGGCAGCAGACCAGGGAGACGCGGAGCAAAGCCACAGAGGACGTGGGCAGCGGGACCACGGCACGTCTTGGCTGTCCCAGCTTAGCTTTGCTAGCAGAGGGACTACATTCTTGGGTTGTTGGGGTTTTGTTACTTTGAGAGAGAAGCACAAACCCACATATGGTGCACATCTGAGTTAAAGAAGACAGCACAAAAAGGGGCTAAGGTTGGGATTTCTAGATAGATTTAGATAGGGTGCTAGATCAATACCATCCCTGGGTTCTGGGTCCATCAGCTGCATCTTCCGTGTCCATTTTTGGGCAACACATTGATTATCCCTCTTTCAGCAGCCTGAGTGTGTTTGTACATCATGGCTGTTCTCCAGTATCTTTCATCCTTCCTTCCCTCCCTACACCAAATGACCCCAGTAAATAAAGATTTACAGTCGCTGTTACCTCTGTGCATGATTTCGTTATTACTGGGTGAGCTCCGAAAGCTGGGCTGAGAAAGGGAACTCTGCCGGGGGATTGTTTCTTCTCTGCAATCTTCTAAGAGGATAGAAGGCTTGATTTAAATCTAACATCTCCTTCCAGCCCAGCTCTTCAGGTGAGCTGGAAGCCCGAGGCAGAGTTGCTCTGCCCTGGGCTTCCTGGAATCAGCCGCTGATCAATTTCAGCAGCAGCTGAATCTGGACGCCAGTTCTGACTTAAGTACAAATTCAACTTAAGTATAAACCTACAGTCCCTATCTTGTACGTAACCTGGGGACTGCCTGTACTGCATATTGCATGTTAATAAGCCCAGAGTCAACGTGGTAAGTTTTATTCAGCCAAGACTTCATTGCCTTAATAGAAGTCTAACTTGAATAAAGACTGAAAAATTTGTCCGTAGGCTCGCCAGTTCTGACTTAAGTACAAATTCAACTTAAGTATAAACCTACAGTCCCTATCTTGTACGTAACCTGGGGACTGCCTGTACTGCATATTGCATGTTAATAAGCCCAGAGTCAACGTGGTAAGTTTTATTCAGCCAAGACTTCATTGCCTTAATAGAAGTCTAACTTGAATAAAGACTGAAAAATTTGTCCGTAGGCTCCCCAAGAGAATAAACTGATTGGCAGTAGACAAGACTAAAGATCAATTTGGGCATGTAGTCTTATGTATGACATTACTTTGAGTTTTATGAGACTTTATTATTTATTTATTTATTTATTTATTTATTTGCTTACTTTCTTTTTGGGCAGGAAAATCATTCTTCTAAGCCACAACAAAACGTATTGAAAACTCCTCTGAAACAGGCAGCTACCTCACATTCAGTATTAACGGAGATCCAGCCTGATTCTGGACTTCTAACAACACCCCCAAAGTCTAAGGAAGTTCCTCACGGAGACCCATGGACACCAACTGCTAATCTTAAAATATTGATCAGCGCTGCTAGTCCTGAGATTCGAAACAGAGAACAAAAAAAGGGACTTTCTGACAGAAGTGAAACTGTAGAGACAAAACACTGTTTGCATGTATGTGGGAAAAAATGTCTATAAATTAAACAGGCGTTTGCCTGTTGATTTAATGCAAGTCTGATTACTAGGTTTTTCTTTTTTTAAAGATGTACTTTAATTCAAAAGGAATTATTTTGCGGGAGTTCTGTGGCATATGTTATACTGGAAGTCAGACTAGACTATCACAATGTTATCTTCTTGCCAAGTTTTCCTTCTGTGTTTAGATTTTACTTCTGGAATCATAGCTATTTGTGATATTATTTTAATTGTTTATATGCTAGATTTGTTATTTTGAGGCTCATCAGCTGTTGAGGATAAGTCATTTGATATTGTTCATCAGTCCCAGATGCTGGCAGTAAATCTGTCAAACTTAACATTTTTATGTACAACATTAAATTATTGTTTCCTTGTTTCTGTACAGGAGCATTTATCAGGAGATGAATATGAAAGATCTCAACCGAGCCGTAAAGAGAAAAGTCTAGGATTATTGTGTCACAGATTTTTAGCTCGATATCCTAATTATCCCAGCATTGCTGAGAATAGTGATATTTGCCTTGATGAAGTAGCAGAAGAGCTTAGTAAGTCTGTGCGCGTACTACAATGTTTATGATTAGGAATATGTAATGTCCTATGAATATCCTCTTTAGAATGTTAAATTATGAAAACGTTTCGTAATGCCCAAGCTAATTTTAGTTCATTCCTTGTCTCAAAGAAAAGAAAGAAGTCCTCAGTTTTAAGACAATCCTTTTTAAAGTTTGAAATGGAAATCTGTTTCTTCAACAAAACTTATTTCTCTGTACACACTGTCTTGTTACAGAACATTTTAAGAAAAAGAACCTTCCATAATGTTTTATACAGAACATATAAACAATAACCACGGCTACTGGCAATAACGAGTACATTTTTGGTTCTTCAAATTATGGGTATGATCAGTGATTGGATGAGTGGGGAATTGGGTGGTTTTCTGGCTGCATCCACAGTTTGCCCAAATGTGACATCAAAATAATATGTGATTTGATGCAAACTATGTAGATTTTTGTAATAGTTCCTTAAATCATCATGCTAGGTAAACCAGCTGCAGAGATATGTATGCTAAGAACAGTACTGCATGATCCAAATTTCAAGATGAATGTTAGTATTGTTTTTCCTTATAGATGTTGAACGTAGACGCATATATGATATTGTAAATGTGCTAGAGAGTCTGCATATGGTGAGCCGCCTTGCCAAAAACAGATACGCTTGGTATGGACGTCATAATCTCAACAGAACGCTGCAGACTTTGAAAAAAGTTGGCGAAGAGAACAAATACACACAACAAATTGAGATGATCAAGAAGCGAGAGTATGATTTTGAGTTAGACAATGATAAAAATGAGGAGATGGCGACCAAACTTGTTGGCCCAAATGAACATTCAGAAATGTGTTTTGTTGAACTTCCAGGGATGGAATTTCGAGCAGGTAACAATTTTATGTATTAAAATTAGAAGTATCTAAACACAGATCTCTTAAATTCTTAAGCCTAAAATGCACCAAAGTGTTATTCTTTTTCAGATGTTTTAATTAAGACCAAGGTGCTTGTTGATAAATATTTTTGTTACAGGTTGTACCTTCTTGGTCTGTCACTCTTGGGACCAGGGCTGCTCTCTGTGCTTGGTCGCAGGGTTCTGCAGGCATCCTGCCTCTTCCCGAGAGTGTCCTCTGCTCCCCACTCTTCCCCCTTCCTCTCTGACCTAGAACACTGCAAGTGAGCTATATGCAATGCTCTGGAAGCTCTGTGAGGACAGGGGTAGAGTTGTTGAGCAAAGGGACTGGTTTATTCCCAAGAGTGCTCCAACCTGAGAGCCCCCATGGGGTAGCCAAACTATGGAAATCTGGACTACAAATGTCCAAGCTGTACTTAATTTCTTAAATAGTAAGAACTGCCATTTCAGATGGCATGTCACTGGATACATTTTAATACTTTCTCCTTTCTGTACAGCTTCAGTAAACAGCAGGAAAGACAAATCTTTACGAGTGATGAGTCAGAAATTTGTGATGCTATTTCTTGTATCAACTCCTCAAATAGTGAGCCTTGAAGTTGCTGCTAGAATTTTGATTGGAGAGGACCATGTAGAAGATTTAGATAAAAGCAAGTTTAAAAGTAAGTAAAATACTGCTGGACCTGTCTTGGTTGTCTATTTATATACGTTTTGTCTCTAATGATCTGGTTTTTATTTTTCTTAAATGGAATGTATTTCATTTACTATTACAGCTGTTGTTTATAGTGAGTCTAGCAAGCTGTAATTGTTAAATATAATGTTACATATTATGAAACGTGATGAGACTCTTTCTCTTCCTATAATATATTTCTAATTAGTTATGAAGGAACTAATTATACCTTTAACACAAGATGTCCACAAGATCTATTTGTGGAAGGGTAGCCAAAAATACATATGAAAGATTTGAAGAAAGCTGGTTTATAGGGCCTTACCAAATTCATAATCTGTATTAGACAAT